CGTACACTATTGAGTTATGGATGCACGCGGGAGGTTGCTAAGCACGAAAGATGCGTAAGAGTCGCTCGAAGCGATAGCCGAGAGCGATTCTAGCTTCTTGAGTGCTTAGCAAACCTCCCAAGTGCATCCATAACTCAATAGTGTACGCTGTGGTGTTTACTATTTGTTTTATAACATAGCATTGATATATTGTAGCTAAAGAGTTCCCATTTTTTTAACAAATCTTACGCGACCAGAAAAAGCAAGCGCGGGCGGAAAAATAGTCTTTGCATTTGCTTACGTCAGCAGCGTACATCCATGGGCAAATGGGGGACGCTAAATTGACTAATCAGAGCGCGCACTTTACTTTGGTTATGTTTTAATTGCCATTAAATCTTTGCTTCTGTTGATCATGATTTATTTAGAAAACTTGGGGAATCCTCCTTTCCAGCCAATTATAAACTAGCCAGTCTCATATTTGAGTATATACATCAAAAATTATAGGCAAGAGGTTTTCTCTGAACCGTCATTTCTTCTTTCGGTCCAACACTATGTTTAGTTATAGTCTTCTTTATCGAGATATTGCCGCTGGCAGTCTCATTTCCTTCAGAGCTTCTTTTGATATTGGTTTCATTGTCTGCCGATGGGAAAATGGAGTGGAGCTTTCTTTTGAAACGACTTCTTATCTACAGGATGAAAAACAAAATAAAACAAAAACAAAATATTGGAAACAAACTTCATGTTTCTCGTTCTATCCCCAAACGACTTTAATGAGTAAAGAGTTCAGTGAAGTTGTAAAGAATAAAAGATTGAAATTGATCCTCCGAGAACTGTTGTATTTTCAGTAAAAGGGGTAAGTTTCTAAAGAAACTGTGGTGCTGCGTTGGTGGGGGTAAAAAGGTAATTCAGTTACATCAACGAAGTTGAAATTGTAAATTGGCCACTGTAAAGGTCTAAAGAGACGACGTTTCGAGCGTTAGACCTTTCGTCAGAGCGAATGGCTAACGCTCTGACGAATGGCTAACGCTCGAAACGTCAGCTTTTTAACTCTTTATGATGTACAATTTCGATTTAGTTGTTATTACCAACTTTCCTTGTTCTATTTTCAGTTTAACGTCGAGGATCAGAAATTTTGAAACTTGTGAGTAATAATTAACAACTATTCACCGAAGTGGAGGTGGTTAGTGATAGATATTTACCGAGCCGCGAAGCGGCGAGGTAAATATCCAATGCTAACCACCGACACTGAGGTGAATAGTTGTTTTAGTATATACTAAAACAGAGAAATCATATACACCACCAAAAATTTATTTTAATTCATCCGATTCCAATATTTTCAACATTTTCTCGCACGTAACGATCCAACACGGCTCGGATCGCGGTAGGTGATTTTTTGTTGTAAAAACTGCCATCTCGTTTTTTCCCTGACAGATAAAATTTCTGAAGACATTTTGTTTAGCTCTGATGGCGACATTTCTTCAAATGGTGTTGCAAACTCTTTCTGTATTTGAAACCATTCTGTAAAAAAATACCATTTAACTTTGATTTTCAAGTAAACAAGTGAGGTTACGCAATATTAATTTGCATTTGTAAACAAAACCTTTTTCATTGGTTTTCATCGAAAAACTCCCGGTTACCATTACCTTTAAACGCAGCCGAGCCAAATTTAGTTGCTTTCTCTGTGTGTTTAGGGACTGCCTCGTTGTTGTTTGAGTGATTGCTTCGCTTGTCACGGATGCAAACCGGCAAGCTACTTTTTCTCGAGTTGCTCGGAGGTAAATTGCAAAGCATATTCCGAGTTTGACCAGCCAATCAGAGCGCGCCATCAACGCTATCCACTGTTTTAGTATTACTAATCATTGCTATTGCCAGGGACGGGCTCTGACCAAAAGATAATTTAAGAATAAATGAAGGCCCATCTATCAAGGGGGAAAGTTATAATGAAGGTAATTTAGAGACAACGAAAGCTTGAAATGTAACAAAAAAAATGTACCTCCGTGTTTTTCACGCAGTGCAGAAGAAAAATCATGAAGCCCTGTTGAGAAATAAGCATTGCATTGAGTTGTTGTTTTTCGTCACCATGCCTAATAACAGACAAATATACATTTTTTTTCCAAACTTACCTGAGTTGAGTTGAAAATCGTGAAAATATAAGCAAAAGCTGTGTGTAATGAAGATAGAACACCAAACAGCCACGTGACACCCAAGAGAGGAATCATTACCAAGCATGCTCTGATGCCAAGCCTGCAAAAGAATGTTTTCATTTCTCGACTAAGACTTTACATCACCAAGCACACATTATTTTTTTTCTTGTAAAACGACTATTTGGTAGAACTTGGATATTCCTCTTTCGTTTCGGTCGGCAAAGGACTTAGGGCCGGTTTTGAAACAAATTTTAGCGACTTTTTAACAATACCTCGTTTTAAGCCATCTTCAATCTTGCCGAACCTTTTATCTATTCATTAATTTTTGTTAGGAGTGTTAAGAGGGCTGAAAGCTTACAGCGGAATGATATTTATTTCGTTAAATCAACCACTGATCACGTAAAACCGCAGTTTGGGTTAGACATCGTATATTGAACTAGCCCTTTGCTATCTACCTGATTTTTTCAGATTGGTTGTCCTTTGTTTGATGCATTGTCGTCATCTCCTTGATAACTCGTAAAAGGATCATAACGTTAAGCTAAAAAAAGGAAAAAACAGCTACTATAACGAGGTAATACCGACTTTCGGGATATGGAAGAGAAGAGTTCAATGTTTTGTTTTTTTTTTAATCAAATGAATAAAGGCTGAAAGTTTCTAAAGAAACTGTGGTGCTGCGTTGGTGGGGGTAACAAGGTAATTTAGTTATCTCAACTAGGTTGAAATTATGAATTGGCCACCGTAACGAATAAAAAAAGCTGGCGTTTCGAGCGTTAGTCCTTCGTCAGAGCGAAGGGCTAGCACTCGAAACGTCAGCTTTTTTATTCGTTACGGTGGCCAATTTACAATTTCAACTTAGTTGATATGACCAAATTGCTTTTTTGTATCACTTGCTGCCTAACTCTACTTTTTTAATTGTCGTCGATGCCATTTTCATCGCTGCCACTGTCACCACCTTCATCTTGAGAGGCATTCACTTACAAAGCTAGGATCAGTAGATGTTCAAAATCATGTCAGTGATAAACATTTAGGAAGCTGCTATACGATGTACTCACCAATCCAATCAGCAAAAGAAAGACAATGAAAATCCAGATCAGACCGTTTTCGCTAGAAAGCCAGCAACTTGACAGACAAAACACAAAACAAATCGAAGAAAAATAAAACTCCGAAAGAAAAAAAATTAAATGGCACATTTAAAAAGATCGGACAGACACATTATTAAAAGTTTACAGCCTGTTCTAGAGTCCTTCTACAAGGAAGATAGACAAATAGTCTTATCGAATAACGGGTGAATATGTTGTACACTTTCTTGCTTTCCTCCCTGCACCAAAACAGCTTCCTGTGATTTCTTTTTATGAATTCAAGTCTAAGTTGGCAAATACTAGTCTCTACAGCTGCTAGTCCAGATGGCATTCTTCACCGAGCATTGAAATGATTCTGTAACGAGCTAGCATATCCTATTTCTGAGTTGTTCTACCTCTCATTTGAGGCTGGTTTGTTTCCAGAGTCGTGAAAACAGTCGTTTAGATCACCTATTCCGAAAGTTTGTCCAGTGCAGTCTGAAAACGACCTTCGATCTATTTCTCTCACTCCTACTCTGTCAAAAATCCAAGAAGACTTTGCTGTGAAGAGGCTGTATGAAAACATTGGAAGGAAAATTGACCTTCGTCAGTTTGGTTCTATAAAAGGCTCTTCAACATCCCTCTGCCTTGTCGACCTCTTGCACCATTGGCTTAAAGCTCTTGGAAAGCCTGGTCGTTACTTATATGGGTGTTTCCTTGACTTTACCAAGGCCTTTGATCGTATTGACCACGCTATTCTTGTGCGGAAGTTAATTAATCTTGATGTACGCCCCGCTCTTATTTCCTGGATATGTAGCTTTTTATCTTTTTTGAAACGACAACAAGCTGTAAAGGTCAATGACATTATTTCATCATGGCTTCCTATGACTGCTGGAGTTCCTCAGGGGACTAAATTAGGACCTATCCTCTTTCTGTTAATGCTCAATGATTTGGGTCTTTCTACCTAATTAGGCTGTAATCGTTGGAAGTATGTCGAAGATATTACCCTGTCTGATACACTCAATCGTGGCCAGTCCTCGTTGTCTGCAGTCTGATTTGGACAGAATTCACCAGAGGGCTGTCGACAATAACATCAGTCAAAATCCATCTAAATGTAAGATTATGCGCATATGATTCTTCCGCGAACAGCCAGTTTTACCAGTTTTCACCATTAACGGTAAGCCACTTGACTCTGTTTTCTCTCACAAGGTTCTGCGCTTAACCCTTCAATCAGATATTCGCTGGAATGCACATATAGATTCCATTGTGCCTAAAGCTGTCAAGCGACTATATATCCTCCGTATTTTCAGATGTTCTAATGTGAGCACAATCGATCTTGTTACTGTTTTTGTCACTCTCATTAGACCTCTTCTTGATTATGGTTGTATTATCGGGCACTTCTCCCTTCCTTTATGTCTTAGTGATAGATTGGATTCTATTCAGAAAAGAGCCCTTAAGTTTATTCTTCCTCACTACTCCTATGCGTCAGCCTTAGAGGCACTGAATTTACCAAGTCTTCTTCTACGTCGTGAGTCCTTGTGCTCTAAAAGTTTTTCCAAGTTAACTAGTCTTACTAATCCACGTTTCATGTCACTCCTTTCCACCCACCGCCGTGATGGTAATGACTCCGCTATTCCTTTTTGCACAACTCTTCTAATTTTACACTCCCGGCACTACATACCGAGAGTTTCAAACATAGCTTTATTACATCTAGTACGCTTTTTAGACAATAAATAGTGTACATTACCTCGTTTTTCACTTATTAGGATACCCTAGATTGTAAAATATTATCTACTATTAGAACATAGCTAGCAGAACCACGCAATCAAATTCAATATACGTAAGCGTGCTCAAAATCCCGATAGTGCACGCTGACAGCGTCAGCAAATCGCTTCCACAGAATTTCTTTTTTTCGCGCGACCGGCCATGTTAGCGCCGGGAAAAATAATACATTTCGCGACAATAATTGATAAAAACAAAAATTCGGCCTACTCGTCCGAAAACGAATACAATTTTTCGACCTTTTCCCTTGGGCTAGAGTTTTTAAATGAGGCAGAAAAAGAGAAAAACAACGGAAAAGGAGACTTGGCATCAGCGCCTTTCCGATTTGCTTCAACTGATATTGTTGTCCGTTTTTCGCGTCGGATTTGATGCACAATTCCACCGGCTAAGTTCTAAAACAATTGGTTCATGCTTTCAGCTGTGCACTATCGAGTTATGGAGCACGTGGAAAGTTTGGAGAGCACTCAAGAAGCNTAAAAACACACGCCCCCGTCTTAGTGAACCTTATTCAGGACAAATAGTTTTAAAGAACTGATCAGGGATAAACGTTCCCTAGTGGTTCAAGAGGTTTGAGATCAACTCCTGGAAGAGATACTGCCGGATTTTCCGCTCAGTAAGACGGCTCACATTTAACCTTTATTCCCCCAAATTGTTCGGGTTTTACCCGCAACGGTCTAGCTTCCACGTACATTAAAGTAGAGGGAATTAAATTATCCTGTTATTTACAGCTACTAAAACTGGGAAGGAGCCCTAGGTAAAGGGTGTCAGTATTTTTTAAGTGTTACCCTGTTTAGTTAGCTGAAATTTGGTCTTACCCCATGCAACTCCGTGGCATATCTTCAACTTGCTTGAAACATTGTAAACTTTTACAACAAATAAGTAAAGGTAAACCCCCTCGATGAACATCCAACAGAAAGCGGCGAACAAAAAGTACTGCTCAAGGGCTGCTACCAGAACACACGCTTTCTGGAAAGAAGAATCATTTCATGATCAGTTAGCCGCCGCTGTGGTTAAGTAAAAAAAAAACGTTCGTTGGCAAAGAAGCGAAATCCAGACTTGTTATACCGGATGGATAAACATTTTGGTCACTGTGACACAAAAGAAGAGGATTAAAATGGATACAATTTTCTAATAAAAACCTGTTGTTAAAAATATTTATTTCTCAGGCATTTCCTTACATGTACATTCAAGGGAGAAAAGAGTTGGAAAATGCAATGAAAGTCACAGCAGCCATATCAAGTATTCCTTACTTTGTTCTCAGTCGCACGGATCCCGGCCAGAAATATGATTTGAGCTGTGCACAGCGAAGCAACCAAACTTACACGAACCTGGGATAAAGGACTTTTCATCTCCCTGATGGCAAAGGAGTCAAACGATAAACGAGTTAATGAAAAATAAGGATTCATATCTCCCTATGATACGAAATTTTATAAAATTATGACGAATTAATAGAAACAAAGTATAAATGTGTCCGTATGAAACTAAATTTTGTGTGCCTTGTCTTTTTGAGTTGTTCTATTGCGGTGTACTTACGTAAGAAAAACGTAGCTTAGAATTGTTAGGATAATTCCAATGAGAGATAGTGTCAGACCCAAATAAGTTAGGACCTCCAAGATTTTCTTGTCTGTCTGTGTAAAAAAATTAAATAACAAAACAAAATGAAAATAAGAAAGCGCAAAATAAGTAAAGATACGATCAAGAGTAGCTTAAACAAAGCTAGATATAGTCTTCACATGCTTTGAATTATTGTCAAATGATACCGATAACTCATTTTACCTCAGATAAGACTTTATCGCCGGGCCCTGTGCCAAACTGTACGAGTACAGCGAAATGAGTCAAATGATTACAGGTGCACTCTGTTTGAGAATCGCCCACAGATTTTGCAGAGCAACCTTGCCCTGACCAACCGACATAGCTGCAAAAAAGGTACATCCATCTTTTAAAAATTCTTACATAATAACATCGACCAGCTCCCTCCTTATTGAATTGTTGAATAGATTTTTCAATTTTGCAAGAACAAGACAGGGGTCTGTTACAGCGCAAATTAACCTACATTGGGCTTAAATCAACGGCAGGAAACATAGGAAACTTACCACTTATCGCCCTAGATTTTCTCACCCATTAAAAAACTTTAACACGAGGATAGTTTTATTCCGTCACG